GCAACATAGATGAGCCTTGAGGATATCATGTCAAAGTGAAACAAGCCAGGCACAGAAAGAGAAATACCGCATGATCTCACTCATACGTGAAATCTAAAAGGTTGTCCTCATAGAAGTAGAGAATAGAATGGTGGTTAACAGAGGATGGGGAAGGTAAGGGGAAGAAGAGATAATGAAAGATTGGTCAACAGACATAAAGCTATATAGTTAGATAGAGGGAATAGGGTCTGGTGGTCTATTGCATAGTAGGAAGACTAGAGCTAACAATATATTGTATATCTCAAAATAGCTAGGAAGAGAGGTTTCTGGATCTTCTCATTACAAAGAAATTATAAGATGATGGATATACTAATATTCCTGATTTGATTATTATACAATTTGTACATGCATTGAAACATCACATTGTACTCCATAAATATGTACAATTATTTTATGTCTATCATAAATTTTTTTTTTTAATTTCCTGGGAAGCTTGTTAAAATGCAAATTCCTTGGTCTTACTCTAGAAGTACAGGATAAGCATCTCTGGGAGCAAGGCCAGAGAAAAGGTGATTTCAAGACAGATGGTTTGGAGCACACTTCAAAAATAGTTGCTCTAGGTTAGTATCAGAGAAAATAATGATGTCATGTCAGTAGTATCCTTTGAGCATAAAGAAAAAAAGATATTCAATACATTGTGTGACAATGATTCTGATGGAATAATAGTTCAAGATATCTGCATCCTGGTTCCAAATTCACTGATTATAAAACTTTGGGTTAGTTGTTTTACCTCTTGTGGCACCATTTTACTCACACTGCAATTGGAAGCGTTTGATAGATTGTAAGCAGGGAAATGACATGATATTAATTATATTTGTTGCTGACTAGTGACTGGAATAAAAACAGTGGGAAAAGATTGAGCATGGCAGGCTGGGTGCAGTGGCTCACACCTGTAATCCCAACACTTTGGGAGGCTGAGGTGAGTGGATCACTTGAGGTCAGGAGTTTGAGACCAGCCTGGCCAACATAGCGAAACCCCATCTCCACTAAAAATACAAAAATTAACTGGGCGTGGTGGCGGTTGCCTGTAACCTGCTACTTGGGAGGCTGAGGCAGGAGAATCACTTGAACCCAGGAGGCCAAGGTTGCAGTGAGCCAAGGTCGCGCCATTGCACTCCAGCCTGGGCAACAAGAGTGAAACTCCGTTTCAAAAAACAAAAACAACAACAACAAAAAGATTCGGCATGGCATATCAGCGAATAGGCTACTAAAATAGACTAGGTGAAGGATAATGGTGGCTTAGAATAGGCTGTAGGCAGTAGAGTTGGAACGAAGTGAATGAATTTTGAGATTTATTTCGATAGGATCAGTAATAGATTGGATGTTAGCTAACAGAGAGAGAGAGGTGTCAAGGATGACTCGTAAGTTTCTGATTTTGTGATGAATGGTTGAGGTTCTTGGAGGGTATGAATTGATTGCAGGTTCAAGTGATCGAGTTTGAGGCCAAGAATAGATGGGTAAGAGCTAAAAGTTTGGGAGGAAATGGAGGCATTGAGGGATTTGAGGTCTCGTTGAAGTGAAAAAGTAGATAGAGTCAGAGCAGGCAAACTGAGAGGGTGGGAGACTGTGGTCAGAGAGTAGGGTACTGGTGGACATATCCACAGTGGAGCAGTGCTGATTGATGATCAGCTCTGGGTTGGCCATGGGCACAGTGAGCTGAGGTGGAATGGACGTGGAGGTCAGTGAAGGTAGAGAGGCCAAGGAGCTGATGGGCCAAGATGCTGTCTGGGTTGTTTGGGGTAGAGAGACAACTGTGATCCAGGGCCCCAAACCATCAGTGCACTTGGGATCGTGACCAACTTAGTAGACGAGGGTAAACAAGGAACAACTGGATGACAGGGACATTAAGGGAGCCAGAGCTTTTTATATGAGTGAAGGAGAAATAATAGCTTGGAACCTATGCTGGGGAGCCTTTAAAAAACAATCCTGCCCTTTGATATGTGGGTTGTGAGAGAAGGAACCCCTCTGTTTTTGAGACTGTATGTTTCAATTTAAAGCAGAAGTTGTGGGATCAGATGAAGAAGCTTTGGAAGCGGCAAACATGCTGTCATTTTTTTCTGTGTGTTTGATGTGTTACATATTTTGGTTCCAGATGTAACACTTGACTTTTTCATTATTAAAAATTTTATCGTTATGCATATTGAAATATTTATGGACGAAACGCTATGATGTCCGGGATATGCTCCAAAATAACATAGGGTGGGTAGGGGTGATAAATGAAGCAAGATCAGCCATGTATTGATAATTGCTGAAGCCTAGAAATGGGTAAATGGAGGTGCCTTAGCTATTCGGTTTTTGCATATGCTTGAATTTTTCCTTAATAAAAAGTTAAAGAAACCACTTCATCTTTATAGATTCAGCCCTTTGCTTTGACTGGCATCTTTTTTTTTTTTTTTTTTTTTTTTTTTTGAGGCGAGGTTTTTGCTCTTATTCCCCAGGCTGGAGTGCAATGGTGTGCGACCTCGGCTTGTGGAAACCTCTGGCTCCCGGGTTCAGGCGATTCTCCTGCCTGCCTCAGTCTCCTGAGTAGCTGGGACTACAGGCATGCGCCACCATGCCCAGCTAATTTTGTATTTTTAGTAGAGACGGGGTTTCTCTATGTTGGTCAGGCTGGTCTCAAGCTCCCTACCTCAGGTGATCTGCCTGCCTGGGCCTCCCAAAGTGCTGGGATTATAGGCGTGAGCTACTATGCCCAGCCTTGACTGGCATTTTCATATTCTTTGTTAGCCTCTCCTATCCCTTTCCACAAGGTTCACAGGGACAGGTATTTATCCCCATTTTACTGATAAACTTCTCCGACACTGTTAAGGAACTTGCCCACAAGTAAATATCTGTTTAGTGGCAGATGTAGGGCTGAAACTTTATGTTCTCTTGACTTCTAGACTGGTACATTCTACCACCTGATTGAGTGAGTTTGTGTTTCCATTAGTAGGTTGTTAAAATTCAGAGCAGTTCTCTAGGGACTTTGATCTTGGAAACGGAGTCTTCATTTGATTGCAGGTCTGACAAAGTGAGATTGTCCTTGCACATGCTATTCCTTCACATGGAATATTGATCCCCATCCCCTGGTTCACCTAGTTAACATCTACATACCCTTCAAAGCTCAGTTTAGTTCCTCTCCCTTTCCCTCTCCCTGTGCCATCCCAACAATCATTCCCTCCTTTGCATTAGTTCTGTATTCTTGTTCAAACCTGTGCTATTTCATATATCACAATGAATTATAAATGTGTGTCTGTGTGTGGTTTTCTGTAATAAACTAGAATCATGGACTATTTTTAAATTTTGTATCCTAGGGCCATCTACATAATGGCACCATCTAGTAAGTAGTTATTCAACAACCCACATGTGCCTGAATCCATTGGTAGAGGTTACTAGCAAATAAAAAAACATGGAGACGAAAATACATACCATGGGCTTGGTTAGTTTGTGCATCTAAAGAGTGGGCATTTGTAATGTGTTATAAAATTTTGGTGCTGTGGGGAACATTTTTCTTCTTGGAAACTAAGTCCTGTAACACAGGGCTCTTCACTGAAATACCAGGGCAGTTGCCAGTCAATGTAAAAAGTGATCTAAGACCAAACCATTTACATTTTTTCTCCAATAAAAACCTTCCTGCAGAACAAGATGGAGGTGGGAAGCAGGACATTTTTTTTTCTGCCACTGTGTAACTCATATAGGGTGTGCAGATCACTTATCTCAATAGGAAATGCACACAGAAAGGGAGAGATGAAGTACCATGCAGATGCCAGATCAGTTATATAACTGGATAATAATATCTAGAAATGCTCCTACAATGCAATCTAACACTTTTTTTTTTTTTTTTTTTGAGACAGTCTTACTCTGTCTTCTAGGCTGGAGTGCAGTGGCAAGATCTCGGCCCACTGCAACCTCTGCTGCCTGGGTTCAAGCGATTCTCCTGCCTCCGTCTCCCAAGTAGCTGGGATTACAGGCGCCCGCCACCACACCTGGCTAATTTTTGTAGTTTTAGTAGAGATGGGGTTTCACCATCTTGGCCAGGCTAGTCTCGAACTCCTGACTTCATAATCCACCCGCCTCAGCCTCCCAAAGTGCTAGGATTACAGGTGTGAGCCACCGCGCCTGGCCAATCTAACACATTTTTGAAGGAACATTGGCTTTTTCTTCCAACAAGTGACTGCCCCTTAAGAAATGGGCACAATACATTTCTGAAAAGAATGCTTTCCAAAGCTTTGTAAGAAGGTCTGGTGAACTTAATACCTTATCTTCTTTGTCCTGAAAAGGAGGGAAGGCTTTTATCCATACGGTTTTCAAAGCACTCATCATAAATATGGAGGGAATCAAGTCCAACTTTAAGAAAGATCAAATTTACAGTTGAATGAATTCTAGACCCCCTACCCTATCCCTTTTGCAACACCCATCAAGTCTATTTCACTGTGAAAACGTGTCATTTCAAAGTCCTTGGGGATCCTTGCCTCACCAGTCAGGTTTGGAACTCATTGGTAAACAGGAGGCACAGAAAGGGCAGTGTAAAGGCAGCCTTAACATTTTCAGTGAAGAGCCAACTCGTTTGTGGTTTTGATTTGTTTTTAATAACAAGCTCCCTCAACCAAAACTGATGAATTGGCATCAGAACAAGGGTACAAAAGGAATATCAAGGGGCCTTCCAAAATGCTAACCAAAGGATGAATTCTCTGCTTTGGGTGACCATCATTTTATCCCTAGAAACCAGGAGATAAAAAGATGCAAAGCTTTTAATATATGCTGCCTGAGTATATAAAGAGACCGATTAGAGCATGTGGCCTGTGGTGTTGTCTTAATACTTTATAATCTATAATCACATTCCATACTTCAAGCAAATGCAAATTCTGCTGCACGCTGCCCTTGAAAGGCAATTTCACTGCATACTGAATTGAAAGTCATCACTGATACAGCACAAATAAAGCCTCTGTCGGGTAAACACCAAAGCATTTTCCACACGGTACTGCATTTTAAAATAGCTAACTTTATTGTCAGTGAAAAGATAGGCACAAAGTGGATTTAAACCTGCTTAACTTTATTGGAACTAGCTCAGTTGATTACAGAATGGGGTCACAATCATTAGGGGACCACATACATTTTAAACCAAAGGCGATTCTTCTCTAGCCATCTGCCAACCCCAGCTATCCATTTTACAAACACATGCCATTAATCACAAGGGAGGCCAGAAGGAGGTTTCATGGCTCCATGTAACCCATCGTTGCTACTGGAAAAAAATAAACAAACTCCCGACACTTGTCCTACTGATGATGGATGGCACTTGGAAGATACATTTCCAAGAATCGTGGCAGGCTGAAATTGGTGGCAATTAGCCCACAGCTGATATCTTCCTTAGAAAACATTTTCAGTAAGAATGCACGTTTTAAGTAACATACTCCATATGCGCATAAGCAATTGAGATAATAGGAGATTGTGTGGCTAACAGATATGAGAATATAATTGATCAAAGTTAGTGCATATGTATACACTTTAAGCTGCCGCATTATCAGGGTTTAGGCTTGTCATAAAAAGTAGTTTGCACAATCAATCAGTTTGTTCATCTTCCAATTGTTATACCCACTCAACAGTGTAACAACAAAAAGAGAACATGACGGGTCTCTGGGTATCTTTCCTATGGCAGATGATGGCAGATATTTTAGGTTCCTGCTGTCCTATTACCTTGAAGCTCAAAAGCAGCATTAAAAGGAAATCCTTCATTAAATCAACAATCAAGATACATGATTTTAAAAGAAAGCTCAAGCTACTTTTATTTCAAAAAAGACTGTTAATAGGAGTTTCATATCAAGTAAAGTTTGTTCTAATGAAGTTTTTCTATACATGGAACATTGGGGTACAACTGACTTAGAAGGTCCTCAGAGACCACCAAGCAGTACAGGCTAAGACAACCTGGTCACCCTCCTTTCCTGAGGTGCCAGTAAAATGCACAGATAGGTAGGAGTCCAGAAAGAGCCCCCAAATGTTACATCCACACAACTGTGAAAAGGTGGCTAATTGAGATTTCTCCCATAAAGTTGGATTTTTGGATCAACAACTAGTGGAGATCTTCTGAAAAGGCTCTATCTATCTTCTGCATAATATACTGACATACTCTTCTTTCCTCTCTTAGATGTACAATGTTATTTTAGCAAATTATCCGCGATTGGAAACTGAGCAGAGAGGAACTGTCTCTGGTATGAGAGGACAGATAGGTTCTGGAAAGTTCAAAATAGTACTTAACCAAGAACTTCTTCCTTTCCCCCAAACACATGAGTCTAAAGAGATGGCTACCACACAATGTGGAATGTATGACATTTGTCACCTTGCAGAATGTGATTAAAATCATGGTTCCCAGAGCCAGCAAAAAGTCTGCCAATGTGTTATAACCATGAAAGGAGTAGGTGAAAAGTGTTTTTAAATTGTTTATTTGGATAGAAAGTAGCTCTCCTGAAGTTTGCTACTTGCTGCTTCTACTATTTGAGGTTATTTTTCTCCTTACGACTAAAGGGTAGTATGAAAGAGTCTTAACACAACTGCATTTTTAATTTCTATCTGAGATTCACTTTATAACTGAGGACTAATGTGTATGTAACATGATTACCTCATTATTGAAAATGTGAAAGGACTAGCTGAAAATCACATCACCCTTCCTTTATGTCTCTCTCTTTCTCTACACACACACACACACACACACACACACACACACACACACACACAGAATAATTCCTTTGGAAGATAATTAGGAAAGATATCATTCCTATACTCACAGAGGAACCCCAAAAGATTATCTAAGATACCCAATCTCCTAGTAAGAAGTGGGATTGGTTTCTTAGGGGGGACATTTATGTGACTCGATGTTGTAATGCAGATCAGAAAAGGGAAAACCTTTTAAAAGGCACTGAAGGAGAGGCAAGACAGAAATTCAGTAGTTTGTCAAGACTGGACAAGCTACTCCAGCCAGGGACATTTTACAAGATACATATTCCCTGGACCATGAAGATGTCTTTTCGTAAAATGGAATTAAAAAAAGATAAGAGTTTCCCAAAATAAGCATGGTGATTGGCATCATGGTTAGCTGTGTTGTGTGACTTTTAAGAAGTCACTGAACCTCTCCAGTTCTCAGATTCCTCATCACTAAAATGAGGGGGTAGGGCTATATTGCTAAAGTTCTCTCCCACCACTATGGCTCATGATGTAATATAACAGGCCTACTCTTCTATTAATCTGGTTTCTAACTAAGACATCCCAAAACCTCTACCCCCCCACCCTTCCCTAACACCCCCCCCACCTTCCCTTACCCTCCCTATACCCCTTAAAACTGATCTTAATGATGCTATCTGCAGATTTGTCACCTTAATGAAGGGCAGACAGGTGACACAGGGCAGGGACCTGTGGCAACTGGCATCCTTCTGTATACTTGGAGGCAGCCCTATGGCAAGGCTTGGAACCATTGCCTCCTTTGATCTCTACCCACATGCACATTTCCCGCTGCTTCCCAAAGGTATTCCAAGATGGAGTCACTGACAGTGAGAAGAGGTAGTTGAGGATACTGCTGCAATCCACCTCTCCCCCGACTGCAGCATAGTACTTTGGGTTTCTCATGTTATTCCCTTGGAGATGATAGTCAAAAATGCCTTTTAAGACATATGCTTAGAATTTGACACACAAAACAAGTTATTTCAAAGTAGTCACCAGAAATTCAAAGCATTCAACCTGTCAACAAAGATCCTTCCTCACTTTGCAAATGATTGGCAATTTGAGACTGGAGCCCCAGCCAGTGAATCTGTGCTGTAGAAGAAATAAACACTAAGCTGATTGGTCTTAATAAATGCAAGCAAGCTATGTTCCTGGCTACACACAGACCATGAAAGTCTGCATATAGCACCTCACGCAAGTCTCCATCAAGGCCTCTGATGGTCTAACTCCCTAAGAGAGAGGAAGTTGTGCATCACTCAGTTAATGTACTCTCCCAGCATCTGAAAGCAATATATTAATCATCCAAATGCATAAATTATTCCAGAGCATATATACGAATGCATGAACCTCCAGGAGGGAACCAAAAGAATCCGTTTCCAAAGCACCACTGAAATGAAGACAAACACAATTCCCTGGGGCAGGGTAGCTGGGAAATTGGAAGAAAAAATTAGCTCCAGCACCCTTCTGTACCCCAAAACTCCCTACCTTTTTTCCAGCTTACATAGCTCCTGAAACTATTCCCTTTTATAAGCCTGAGGTGAGAGCTTTCTCCGGCTGCTGCACAGGATAGTAACTATACAAGACAGCACACACTCAATTCTCTCCAGCGTCCCACTTCCAAACTACGTGTTACACACTGTCTTCCACACATACTGTGCTCTTCAATTAAAAATGATCTAGAATATGGAAATTTTAAACAAATTTAAGCACATTGAAAACACTGATGTATGCCCACCCGTTAACAGTCCCAGTATTTGTATAAATTCAAACAATAAGCTTTAGAGCACATTCTGATTAATCTGTCTTTAGAGGTACTCCCTAAGCATACCAGAATAGACTGGTGGTTCACATGGTATTACTCAAGTAGTACATTGTTCCAACAAAAAGTCCTGTTAAAAAACATCCCCTCCCCCCAACCCTTGTCCTCACCCCCAAAACAAGAACCAATAAAAGGGGGAAATGATTAAAAGCATTTTTGCTGAGAATCTGCAGCTCTTGATTTGGCCGTTTAGATGAGATATTCCACCATCTCTGCATCAGGCTCTTGTCCCAGGATCTGAATGGGAGTTTTTCTTTCCAGAGTATTGGAGTGGAACACAGGCCCATCTAAATGGAAATAAGGGTTAGAAAACACTTAGGGATGAAGAAAAAACCTGTATTTCTAGAACTAGACACCATCAGAGCCCTCATGAAGCCAATGGCAAAGTGAGACTTGTCACCTCCCTCATTTACTTCTGCTAAGATAATGGCCTCTACTCATGCCTGTTCCCATCTTGGTGGATGAGAAGTCATTTACAGACTCTCTTCTCTCTCCCTTAGAACATGAAAAATTCAGTCCAAAGGATAACTCTGCCCAGACATCAGGCAACAAGAAATAAATCTGTATTTGAGAGCAGAACTAAACCAAAAGTTACCTGCTAAAGGGAATAATTACCTGCTTTGTCTGGATTGCAGGTCAAACTTGGTATAGACAAACGATGTGGTCCAGGACCCGTAGCTGGACTTGCAGGAACCTCAGCCTGAGCCACAGCTGGAGTTGGAGTTGGAGCTGGAGTTGGAGCCGCAGCCGTAGCTGAAGTTGGTGCCTGAGTCTGAGCAGGAGCAGAAGCCTGAGGCGCTGCTGAAGCCGGAACTGGAACCAGAGCCGGAGCTGGAACCGGAGCCGGAGCAGCTGGAGCAACCTGAACAGCAGCAGCAGCAGCAGCAGCAGCAGCAGCAGCAGCAGCAGCAGGAGGAGGAGGAGGAGGAGGAGGAGGAGGAGCAACGGCAGCAGCTGAGGCAACAGAGGCAGCAGCTGGAATCTGACCAGCAGCAGCTGGAGAAACAGCAGCAGCAATAGCAGCAGCGGTGGCTGGAGACGGGGCAGTAGCAACAGCAGCAGCAGCAGCTGGAGCAGCAGCAACAGCAACTGGAGTAGCAGCTACCATGGTGGTGGTGATAGTGGCAGCAGTGGCGGTGATGGCGGCAGCAGTGGCGGCAGCAGCAACTGGAGCAGCAACAGAGATGGGAGCAACAGTTGCAGTTTTGTTCGATTCCGTCCCACGTTCAGTTTGGGTACTGCAGTCTCGGCTGCCTGTCTTGGAGTGAGCTGAGAGCAGGGGAGTCGAGGGGGGCACAGGCGAGGGTGTGGAAGGGATATATTCAGCACGGTAGTCTCCACCCAAGAGAATGCCTACAAATGAAAGAGGAACAGACATTAGAAAAAAATAGGTGATTCAAATCCAGACATCTAATTACCTGTTCTCCCATTCAAATTTCAGAAGAAATTTGAATGTGTCTAAATTATTTATTTTTGCCTCCAGGGAACCCAGAAATCAGTGTGTGAGGCTCCTCCAACCATGGCTAAAAGTTTCTTACAGACTTCGAAGATCCCTTCTGGTCCTCATCCATCACCTGGCACAACATATTAAGCCTGTAAGTGACCTAGGTATCTGTTTTGATTTATTTTTCCAATGGTGATTGGGTTCCACCAAGTTGTCAGAATGCTCCTACTCGGCTCCACTTATAAACCATTACCACACATTACCAGGGAGCAAGAAAGGATTTGGAGAATAAGTCTATTGACACAGATTAAGTGTGGTAATAATTGTGTGATCTAAGGTTCTCACCATGACCATAGTCTCCAAAATGCTTATTCTAACCAAAAGATATTATAAGTATCAGAGGACCAAGAAAGGAATTAAAAGCAACAAAAAGGGTTAAAATAAAAATACATATAAGCTTCCTTCCTCAGGCTCTAAAAATGTGCCCGTGGTATCCACAATATGTCTGGGGTTTTGATTAGAGGGGAGGGAATGGACAGGCATGGAACGAAAAAGTACATTCTGTTCTCATCTCAGAACACTGTGGGAACAAAACCTGCTACCCAAACGATTTAGCGTAACTAAAACTCTGGGTTCTCCTATTATAGAGGAGGAAGGAACACAGAAATGCTGGAATTTTGAAATTCTGAATGACAAAAAGGCCACATGGGTTCTGGAGAAAGATAAAGGTGCCACATGGCAAAGGTCAAATGTGAGAATATTTTAGAGGAAATTAGAGTTACCTTCCTTCACACCCAAATGAAACTCAAGATTCTTGTCCTCTAGGCTTTGGCCTCAATCAGTATTCTCACCAGGAGACTTCAAAGTGTGGAGGAGCTCCAGAATGTGGAACTAGGGTCTCAGGAGGAATATGAACCCAAAACCCTGGTACACCTTCCTCTCCAGAACCTGGACCATCATCCCTTTTCCTTAAGCATGGGTGCTTGTCTCATGGCTCTCTTTGAACACATGACTATAATCTTCCTTATTTACTGTCATTACCTAGGCTCCCCTTCCAGCTCTTGTCATCTCGCTTTTCTTCCATGATGGGGGTGCCAGTCAGGGTGGATGAGTGGGAGAGCAAGCCTGATCCAGCATTGGAAATGGACATCAGAGACTTCGCTGGCCGCATGCACGACAGCTGCTCTGTCTTGCTCGGTTCCTTCCGGGAACGCTGTTGGAGTACTTTGATCATGGCATCCTTCTCAATAATCTGGGCATGTAGGGTCTTAATCCTAGGAACCAAAGACAAAGAACATATAAAGACCTTGTTGCGGCCAGGCGCGGTAGCTCATACCTGTAATCCTAGCACTTTGGGAGGTCAAGGCGGGTGGATCACAAAGTCAGGAGTTCAAGACCAGCCTGACCAACATGGTGAAACCCTGTCTGTACTAAAAATACAAAATTTAGCTGGGCATGGTGGCGGGCACCTGTAGTCCCAACTACTCAGGAGGCTGAGGCAAAAGGATTGGCCACTGCACTCCAGCCTGGGTGACAGAGCAAGACTGACTCCATCTCAAAAAAAAAAAAAAAAAAAAAAGATAAACCTGGAAAGGTATCAAATTCATTTCACAAGTCCTCCAAAATGTAAATCAAATTATGCTGTTCTTCATTATAAACAGAAAACTAGATTTTGCTGAATGAATATAAATAAAGCACTATGCCCTTTTTAAAAAAAAAAAAAAAAGATGTTCTTGCTACCTCTACATTTTGGTCTAATTGACTACATGACTACATAGAGTTCCCATCATCTTTTTGACTAAAGGTTGATCTAGTTAGTTCTGAGTTGGAAGACAAGGGATGGTGTGCTACAGTTTTTAAAACATGTTTTTCTTAAAGTATAATAATAAAAAAATATATAATATATATAAAAGATGACTTTTGATTCATAAAGGCAATAGAGTGAGAAAAAAACAACAACATGTTTTTCTGCACACCCAAATGGATACAGCAGAGCATCAGGAGCCGTTGCTTAAACCTTAGTAAGTCACAATAAAGTACCAGTGAAAAAAAAGGGCTGAATATGAGAGAATGAACTGATGTACTGGGTGCTGTAGTGAAGAATCTCAGTCAATGGAAACAATTTACTCAGTAAGATGAGATCTTCTATGAATGAGTGACAACCTTCAGGTAATAAGTCAATGATCATATGTTTATAAAAGGAATCAGGTATCCTACCTCCCACTTTGAGTAGATGTTCTTTTGTTGTTGTTGTTGAGATGGAGTCTCGCTCTGTTGCTCAGGCTAGAGTGCAATGGCACAATCTTGACTCATCGCAACCTCTGCCTTCCAGGCTCAAGCGATTCTCCTGCCTCAGCCTCCTGAGTAGCTGGGACTACAGGTGCCCACCACCGCACCTGGCTAATTTTCTTATTTTTAGTAGAGATGGGGTTTCACCATATTGGCCAGGCTGGTCTTGAACTCCTGACCTCAGGTGATCTGCCCGCCTTGGCCTTCCAAAGTGTTGGGATTACAGGCGTGAGCCATTGTGCCCGGCCAAGCAGATATTGTTTTACTCTTTTATTAAGCAATCTGCTGTACCACAGGGTTGCAGTGCAGTGCTAGAAAGAATACCCCACAGTGCACATGCCAACAATTTAAGCTCAGGCAGAGGGCAGAGGAAAAGCAATTAGGAAGGCCAAAGGGACAGAAACCCTACCTGGAATTCCATGTTTAGTGGAGAGTATCAAGGTAAAAGTCATTGCATCTCACACCTTTAAGTGATAGGCTGGCAGGGGTGATGGTGGAGGGGGGAGACTGCATGATCAGATTTCCTAGTTGTGAATAAAGATCCTATCTGGTCTCTATATCAACGTCTCAGATTCCTCAGGGTCCAGAACAACATTTTACCTGCCCTCCATGTCAAGGCAACGCTTATTGGCCATCAAGATTTCTTCCTCTTCTTTCTGGATGCGAGCTTCTAGAGCTGTGTCATAGCTGGTGTTAGGAGAGTGACTGATGACTGTTGTGTCCCTGGGGAGGAAAATGGAAGTGATGAGATGGGAGCATAGCAAAATCAATGAATGTTATCTTTCTTCTAAGTCAAGAAAGGCTTTTCTGGAAAGTCCTACGCTGAAATCAAGCTCATTTGGAACAGATGGTTTCTGGGGAACTAACCCGTAAGAACCTCCAAAATAGGACAGTTCAGCGTTCAGGATAGAAGACAACGTTGTTAGTATAGAAGTGGCTGCAAAAGTCAGTGAGGGATGAGATAGGCACAGGCTTGCCTTCAGAACTGAACAGGTATCATCCCATGTTCAGTTCTGGCAGAGAGCCCCTTCAAGTTTTTAGATCATGGCCAAGCAATAGGAATATGTATATATTGGGCCAGGCATGGTGGCTCATGCCTGTAACCCCAATACTTTGGAAGGCTGAGGCGGCTGGATCACCTGAGGTCAGGAGTTTGAGACCAGCCGGGCCAACATGGAGAAACCCTGTCTCTACTAAAAATACAAAAATTAGCTGGGCATGGTGGTGCACGCCTGGAATCCCCGCTATCTGGGAAGTTGAGGCAGGAGAATCACTTGAACCCAGGAGGCGGAGGTTGTCGTGAGCTGAGATCGAGCCACTACACTCCAGCCTAGGCAACAGAGGGAGACTCTGTCTCAAAAAAAAAAAAAAAAAAAAAAGGAATAAGTATATATTATTTCCATTTTATTCTTATGCAAGTCATAAAGGGAGAAAGGTCAGACTTTCAAGAAAGTCAGAGGGTATACTAAGTAACTTATTGCTACAGATGAACATTGGTAAATACACCTGAGTACTAGAAGCAAACAATAGACACATCAGCTAAGATCAGGTGGGGCATGTGAGCTAATAAATAGAGCCTTTGAGCCAGTCCCACTCGATTCCTAGCTAATCTACATCTGAAACATTCTAGCACCAATTCAATGGGTCTATCCCAACAAAGTGACTGTTCTCTTGCCAGAGTTCTAACTGCATAAAGGACCATGATGTTCCATCTGAAAGTGTCTCAGGTCATTAACTCAAAGACCAATTAATAAGGAAAAAAGGCGTGCATGTGTGTGTGTGTGTGTGTGGTGGGGGGCTGGGGGAGCGGTATTAGGATTAGGGAGAATACTGATGCAATTATATTGGTCTTAAAGGAAATCAGACAATAGACCGAGAAAACAATGAACTGGCACTGCTTCATTATACTTCCTAAGAGAATGGGGATCTGCAGGAGAACTCCAGGCATGTTTTCTGTTGGCAGCTAACTATGTTCTCTTAGCTTCAAGATTATGTCCAGTGCCGATGAGGATGAAGTGGCAAGAGAAAGAGGCAGAAAGTTGCTATTAAGATTGGGGATTTGGGTGAGCCTCTATAAAACTACTGTTCCCCAAAATATACATGTACCTTATATGCAAGGTTGAAACCATGTATGGAATGATGAAATAATTGGAGAGCAAGAAGGGGAAAGAATACAATGGCTTTCATCATTTGCTAAACTCAAAGTATTTTACCATCTCAGCATTCTATACTTTCTCTAGTGCAATTCACTGGCTTGTAGTCCTACTGGGTACCCAAGAGGAAGCAGCATTTGCATAGTGCTTGACAGCACAGGCTCTGAATACAGACAACTCAGCAGGTCCCAGCTTCTCCAAGTATTTTCTGCCCCTAACAAGCTTCATGACCTCTGAAAGTCAAGTTACCTGCTCTAAGCAAGCCGCTTCATATGCCAAGTGGGAACAATATTTATAACTTCATCTCATAGAGGATAAAATTATGCAGTAAGACAGTGTCGGTCATGGTAAAAACACTCAACAAAGCTGTTATTAAGAGAGAACCACATAACTCAGGAGGCTGAGGCAAAAGGATTGCTTAAGCCCAAGAGTTCAAGGCTGCAGTCAGTTACGACTGTGCCACTGCATTCCAGCTTGGGTGACACAGCAAGACCACTGTCTCTAAAAGGAAGAGAGAAGGAGGGAAAGAGAGAGGTGGAGGAGAGCGAGGGTGAGAGCGAGAGCGAGAGCGAGAGACAGAGAGAGAGAGAGAGAATGAATCACATAGATGGATAGATGGAAGGAGACTAACATACAGAGATTACAAGAGATTCTGACTTGAAAGAATTCCAGCTCTTGGTAAAATCCTGGAAGCAATTCCTGTACTGCAGAATTCCAATGTGAAGGTTGGGGCTTTAGAGCCAGGACTGTTGAAAAGTGCATGGTGTCTACGGACACTGGGGAATTGAGCATACGGTTTGTCACTGGGGGAACTAGTGCTGGCCTGCTGCCACTTTCATCGCATAAAAGACCATTTTGGGGACTCAGAGCCCTGCCAGCTAATTGATATGGACACTGTGAACTCCTCAGGAATGGAGCCTGAAAATGTGGGGCACTTACTGAATTCCGACAGGGCTGCCAGGGCAGCCCTCAGCATCAATCTTCCTTCTAGAAGACTAGGGCTACTAGGCTAATGGCTTAGGCAAAAGCAAGCAAGCACAATATTTGAATGAGCAACTTGACCTGCTACCTTCCAACACTCCAAGACGTTCTCTAAGAACATCAGGAGAGAGACGCTGGGCTACAATCTGAAAATAAAACCTGCAAACCCCAAGCTGCATATTCCTGATTTTGACATCCTCCACCTCAAATTCTTAAGTAAATAGTTTGTCATCTTCTTTCTACTTCTTTTCTCCAACAAAGTTATCCCATCACATTGCTCAAATTGCTTTCTAGCATGTCACCAGTAACCTCCTAATTAAAACACCTACTGGCCTTTCAAACTTCAAGCCTATCTTTTCCTATCAGCATCATCCTTTTGTTTATTTAATGTGTGAACTCTACACCAGTGGAGCACTGTGTTTGAAGTTCCTGGGAGGCTGGAGACGGGAGAGGCATGGATAAGACTAGCCTGTAACTGTAGGAAACTTACAAGGGAAGACAAAAAAGTAAATAATTAACTAGTACAGAAGTGAGTTTGGACTTTATTCCAAAAGGCAGTGAAAATTATTAGAGCTTTCCAAGGGAATAAAATGATCTAAGCCATGCCTTAGGAAGACGGCCTTATCTCTCTTAGAAATGTGACAGAGAGATAAGAGAAGTGAAACCCTGGAATCAGGCAGACCAGTCAGCAAGGTGATTGTAATAATCCCAGCAACAGATCATGAAACTATGCACCAGCGAAGTGGCAAGAGAAATGGAAACAGGCTGTAAGAAGTAGAGCTGATACAATTTGGAGACAATATCAATGTGGGAGTTAGGGAGATGGAAGAATGAATGACAACTTTGTTATTTCGAACTCAAATGCCTAGAAAAAATGAAATACTGTTTGCTGTGAAAGGAAACTGAGGAATGGCTCTTTTGGAAAGCACTGCAATGGGTTTTGATTTTAGGTATACTGGAGTGAAAGTGACTTAAGAATTGCCATATGCCAATATCTAACAAGTTGGTCAAAATTCTAACTTTAATTTTAGAGATATCAGAGTTACTATTACAGTTATTATCATTGCTATTATTACCGAGAAGCTAGAGCAGAAGATATAACTAAGACAGAAGGTAGAATGAGAAGAAAGCAGAGGAAGGAAATTGAGAAATGCCTACAAAGAGGGAATAGGTAGACATGCATTATGTGTGTGAACAGCTTCTACCTTCTGCTTCCCCCTTCTTTACTTCCTTCTTTCCAGAATTTACTTTTGCTCAAAATAAACACGAAACATTACACATTCTGAGAAAGGCAGTAACCTAATTCAGTAAATGCAAGCTGATAAAAATTACATGGTTGATTGGGTGCATTATCTTGTCATCCTTTTGCTGCTCTTCAGGAAAAAATTCATTGTTTATGAGCTGAAACTAAAAATCTGCATTGCCAAATTGGTTCTTCTGCAAATGAACAGGGACTCCTACTCAGTAGGAATTTCCCCTCATCTATATTAAACATCTAGAGAGGACTCCCTAGGGACAAAATAATATGGAGCCTTAATTCAGGCCATATTATTGTGATTATTTATAATATTTCCAGGTAACTAAATAATTAGCTTCAATTAGTATCTTACTGAACAGCTAATAATCCCAATTATTACCATCTTTGAGCTATACCATTTCTAAGAAGCAGCAGAGTTATAGCAGCTAAGGTGACAAAAATATAGATTTAAATCCTAGTTCTTCTGTCATTTAGTAGCTGTGTGTGATCTTGGGCAAATTATCTAACTAAAATGAAAGAAATAAATGTCCTGTTATCACTTTCAACAAAACAAATATTTTAAGTAACAAATACTCATTTTAGATATGCCAAAATATCTTAATTTACTATCTATCTATCTATCTATCTATCTATCTATCTATCTATCTATCTATCTATATCTATCTCTCGGCCCTCTTAACCTTTCATCAAGTAAAATTCACCTAAACATACAACTGACCAATCTCACAGAGTTGCTGTATCTGATGTTTAAGATGGATCTCAGGATAAAGGACAATGCCAGCACTTTCCATATGCATCAAAATGCCTCCTCCTGGACTCTTTAAGGCTAAAAACCAATATCTAAGTGTTGGAAGGGATATAAATAGACCACCTAATATGACTTATCACCTGAGAAAAGACACTTGCCTATTCTTATATTTTATTATTCACAATGGTCAAAAACTGGAAACAATCCAAATATGCATATATCCAAATATGCATACATAAACTGTGATACATCCATACCATGGAACACTATTCAGCATCAACTTGGATGGGTCTCAAAATCATTGTGTTGAGTGCAATATGTCAAACAAGAAGAGTAAATGCAATATGATTCCTTTTATATGACATTCTAGAAAAGAAAAGTATAATTTTGTGACAAAATAACAGATTAGTCATTGCCTGGGGTCAGGCATGGGAGGAAGCGATCAAATTCAAGGGCACAAGAACACTTTACAACAGGTCCTCTATGTTAATTGTAGTGGTGGTTACACTGTTGTATACAATTACCAACATTCATCAAACCGTACACTTACAACAGGTGATTTTTTAATATGTAACCAATATCACAATTGAAAAAAAAAAATTGTTTTCTCCAACTATCGTTGATACCACCAAAGCAAGATGTCCTAATTGTGAAATCTGTCATTTACCAATGAGCCATTAGGTTTGGAATATATTAAGCTTGAGATCCTGGTAGAATACACAGAAACCAAGCAGATCATTAAAATGTGGCACCAGATTTAGGGATATAATTTATACATTTAGAAACTGTTTCCTTCCTGCTTTCACATCTTCCTTTCTCCTTCCTTCCATTTTTCTTCTTTCTTTTCTTCTTTCCTTCCTTCCTTACTCAAATACACTTGAGCACTTTCCAACTGTAGCCAATATCCTAGACACTTAAAAATTATTTTGAGGCTGGGCGCGGTGGCTCACACCTGTAATCCCAGCACTTTGGGAGGCCGAGACAGGTGGATCACAAGGTCAGGAGATCGAGACCATCCTGGCTAACACAGTGAAACCCTGTCTCTACTAAAAATACAAAAAATTAGCCGGGCGTGGTGGCACATGCCTATAGTCCCAGCTACTTGGGAGGCTGAAGCAGGAGAATGGCGTGAACCCGGGAGACGGAGGTTGCAGTAAACTGAGATAGCGCCACTGCACTCCAGCCTGGGCAACAGAGCGAGACTCCTTCTCAAAAAAAAAAGAAAAAAAATTTTTTTTGAAAGAAAAGAAAATATTAAACTTTTACCATGGAAAGGGGCAAAGGGCAGAACCTTGGTCAATAGATACATTTAAGACTGAGAGAAAGAAGAGGAAAACAGGTAGACAAAAGGAATAAAAAGAAATGTTGGAAAGAAAGGCAGAAGAGCCCACAGGTTTTGAAATAAAGTTTTCTGAATGTTACCACCCAAATATAAAATCTCATTTGAAAGGAAAGAGGAAAAGAAAACCAACCTCCATGGTAGAACATAAGAGGCACTATCGTTGGAAGAGTAATATAATCCTAGAAATAGGAAGGTCTGAAGGAATCACCTAATCCAATTCGCTTATTTTACAGAAATTTCAATACAGTCTGTCTGCCAGTGTCTCCTGTGGAATAGATTAGTAGCATGCCAGAAAGACACACAGTCCTGATCTGGAATGTTCGCCTGTGGGACTATCAGAAAGTGTTCTTTCTAGGTGGGAACAGGCTGTGCTTTATCCTATTGAGTGATAGGCATGCACATTTTGCCAAAAACAGTGATTAGATGAAAAGTTTCTACCTGATGATTAAAGGGAATTCAGTTTAAATTAAATCTATCTTGTGGGAGCCAATAGATTCTGAAAATCCATCTGAAAGGGGTTTCCCCGAATACACGAAGCTTTCAAAGGAGGAAGGAAGGAAGGTAGTTTCTTTATACAAAGCCCCAGTGACAACCCCCTAAGCTCTCCTGCATTTTGACCTGGAGTCTATTCTGAAGCAGGAACCATGAACCCTAGCTTTCTAGTGTTTTCTCACACTGCACACTCTCGTGACCTGAACATTTCTAAGCTTCTCCCTAAAGGTGACAAAATTACCCTGTATCTTTCCACCTCTCAATAATAACAACGTTTTTTTAACGTCAGCGTTTCTTATATAACCTCTGAACAAGTGCTAGACACAGGTGTTTCCTTGGGAGCTAGCAGGTAAAATTACATTTAATTCTGCTTCTAACCTGCCTACAAACTTCGAGACCATCTTCTGGCATAGCTGGGCCTTCTGTGCACTCTATTGCCACACTGCCTTGTATTGAGTATGCCTTGCTTAGGAAACAAGGCCAGCAAGTTTAAGCCCATGACGACTTCAAAATCAAGCCACACGCAGCTTCCATCCATCTGAGGCATAGATGGTATCTAATGAAGACACGCAGATCACATTAGAGAGACATGTCTTCCTAAAGAATCGAAGGGGGCTTACAAAGCACCGGTTCAGCTCTTAGCACTGAACCTCCCCACCTCTGATTTGGCATGAGGCGGACTCAAAAATAAATGTATCCACCACCCCCTCCACACACATATACCAACCCAAAGTCTGGCAAGCACTTCCAGACTCTGCTGGCTTACCATGATTAGAAGAATGTTAAAAACAACACTGTGGTTTTTAATAACTTTCTGGGTAGAGACCTATCTGGGTGCAGTATGCTGTAGCCTGCCTTTCACACCCAATTCCAGACCAAGGCTCTGTTATCGCCACAACTCAAGTCATCACCTGACTTGAATTCAGTTTTTGTTGTTTCTCTCTCTCTCTCTTTCTTCCTTTCTTTTTACCCCAACTGATGATTATGAGCAGTAGCAAGATAGACACATGGAGTAACAGCAACTATTTCCTCCAAAGGCCAATAATGAACTTTTATAATTTGAAAAGGGGAACAAATAAGAAGCAAAAAAACAAAAATCCTTCGGCCACTTTCTCTCCCTTACCAGATGAAATGTGACTGCTCACACGTGATGAGGTCGTGCACATAGAGAATGCGGCCTTCAAATATTGACCTTCCCAAAGGGCAGGGATGGGTTCAAGTTCAGCACAGCCTTTGACATACCTTGGACAAGCCAGAGCTATCAAATGACAGCAGCAACTCCTCAGTGACATTTAGTTTCTGAGTGGTAGTTTCTCTGGAGGGGCTTTCACTCCAGTCCTGGGGCTAAACAACCTGCATATGTGGCTGAAAGAATCTTGTGGCGCTGGGGAAGGAGGGGTGCAAATTTACAGCTGATCCCATCTGCAATTATTCTGGCTTCTGGGGAAAGCTGAACTATGATTCTAATAAGTTTATAAGACAACTTTTATGTTCAAATCGCTGACTCTCTGTCTCTACAGCCGTTCAGTCCCTGCATAATCAGATGAAAGAAAACACACTTAGGCAGAAACGGGGGGGGGGGGGAACCCAGAATATTAAAGAAAATAAAACACTGGAAAAATCTATGAATCAGTGACCTTTCTGTTCTTCCCACTCATGCCCTACCAGCTAACTACTTACCTCTGAGCAGCCACGGTTGCAGCAGCATCCAGAGCGAAATGTCTCATCACATTCTCCTCCAAATATTTCTGCTCCCACTTTGTCATATCAGCTTCCAGAGCCAGAATCCTCTCCTCTTTCTCCCGAAGGAGCTCCATCAGCGCAGCGGCATTGTATTCTGAAACACTGGTGGGCTGACAGTTGCCTTGACGCTGTTGGGCCAGATGCAGAGAATCCTCAAGTGAGTGAGAGAAGAACCATGGTGTCTGAGCCCCTATTCTTGGAAAGGATTACTGCCCAGCCTACTTCTGTTTCGACTCTGATTCAGAAAGAAGCAGGGGGAATTCAGATCTCCTCCTAAGGCCACAGGACTTCCTATCATGGGCTTGAATGTGAGATTCCCTTGGCCAGGAAAGGGGCCTGTCATATCAAATTGTCATGCTACTCAGAAAGTGAATTAATGGGCTAAAAACTGCCATCCCTGCCTGCCAGCATAACACACAACAGAAACGAGAATTTTAAAACCTGGCCAGGCACGGCGGCTCGCACCTGTAATCCCACCACTTTGGGAGTCTGAGGCAGGCGGATCACCTGAGTTCGGGAGTTTAAGACCAGCCTGGTCAACATAGTGAATCCCCGTCTCTACTAAAAATACAAAAAAAAATTAGCCGGGTGTGGTGGTGCATGCCTGTAATCCCAGCTACTCGGGAGGCTGATTCAGGAGAATCGCTTGAACCTGGAAGGTGGAGGTTGCAGTGAGCTGGGATCATGCCACCGCACTCCAGCCTGGACAATAGAGTGAGACTCAGTCTCAAGAAAAAAAAAAATCTAGGATTTAGTTCCTATCTTGCCCGTAACTTGTAGTTATCATTAGCGATTTATGCCAACTTTTCCTAGTCTTGATTTTCATTCATCTAAAACTGAAGAGTGGTACGGCCAGATGATTTCTGAAGACCATTTCTAGTTCTACAATATCAAGGCGTGTATTTGTGTAGCAGCTCTAATTCTTACAGCATCTACTGTTCCTGGAGTTCATGTGAAAATAAAAGGTGCAAGATCATAGGCTTAAAGGATATTTCTGGGATAGGAAGCTAAGGAAACAGACTTTGTATTCACAATTGGGAGGCACTCTGGAGTAAGATTAGGTGGGAGAAAAATGTAAAGATGAGCAAGTGTGTGCTTTCAGTGTTCACGTCAAATGCCAACTGAAAAATAAGCAACCAGGAATAATGTCATTTTCTTGACTTTTTTTCCCCTTTCTTCCTTTAAGTTCTCCATACCTGCTGGATTCTTAGGGATTCCAGTTCCCTCTCCAGTCGTGTCCGGAGACGGTGCTCTAGCTGCTCACGTTTTTCACATGCTGCCTGGAGCTGTACAAGGGCCTGCTGCATCTTCTCCACCTTGTCAACGTACACTTGCTTCTTTTTCAGCTGGAAATCCACGTTGGGTAATTTGCAAGGTGAAAGGAAAAACAGCAAGCAACAGGGTCAATTATGTATCCCCCAAATCCAGCCTTGTGTTTACATCTCTTCTTGTTTTAGAGTCCAGCTGTAAAAAGGAATGGATGGCGAGAAGGTCCTTCACGGTGAGTAGCAGGCTGCCTTGTATTGCTCATACAGAGAATGTGAAGGAATCGAGAGTCCCTTTTAAACCTCTTCCTTCTTCCCCATCTCTATACCTTTCCAAAGTCTACTCCCATCAGTACCATCTATGTTAGAAGGCCAAGTTTTTCAGATTCCCGATTACGCACATCCTTATCTCTGGTCTTTTCCACTCTCATATGGAATATTCTTGGGGAAGGCATATCTTATTCTGGTTACTGCATTAGGCAAATGCTTTAAAAGGGGGGATCTCCAGGAAGAAAGGTTTGCTTTGGTATGGAAAGGAAGCCCACCCCCTTTTATGTAGCTGTCTCGTCTCCAAGTGGGAGAAAAAGAGTGATTAACTGCTGAAGGTACAAGGTCAGAATTGTCTTTTTGAAGTCTTTGGTCCTGGTAATCACCCCATATAATCCATCATGGCTCTCCTGGGAAGTTTCTGCTTCTCAAAAGTAAAGGTGTCATGTGATGGTTCAAAAGCCTTTACCCTCCACCTTGCCTAGCACTGCCTTGCTAGTTCTTTAGGTTATTTGTGATTGCTACTTCATGAGCCTGAATTGGAGACCCTGGGTTATAGTCTCATAACTTTTATTCTGGAACCATAAAAGATCCCGAAAGCCTCAAACTAATGACTCAAAAGTGAAACTAAATGAGTCAAACATTATTATTTCTCTTTGCAAGCCTATAAGCCATATCCAAAAGCAAATGAAGAAGCAAGCAGGGAATAAGAGTGTGAGTTCTTTGTAACCTTGTAGCTTAGAAGCAAAAGTTTGGCTCTATGCAGATAAAATAATGAGAAAGATCTCAGATACATATCTTCTTTAAAGATATATATAATCTATATCTTCTTTAAAGATATAGATATAGATACATCTATATCTTCTTTAAAGATATAGATATATATCTATATCTTTTTAAAAGATATCTTTAAAGAAGACACACACACACACACACACACACACACACACACATACACCTATGGTGTATCTATCTATCTGTCTATATCTTTAAAGAAGATATGGGGAAACTACAGGCTTCCCAACCTGTTAACAAATAAGCAGATGAAGCTTCTTGTAACACTTGTGGGGCCCCCTCCATGCTAATACATCAACTCATAGCTGTTTCCAAAGCAGAAACTCTTCCAAGTGGGGCACGTCTGTCATTATTCTTCTGATGGAAGTTGATGTTAGGGACACTTTCACTCTTCAGATAAAAATATGAAAATATTATTGATAACCTAGTCAAAAAGAACTTCAGGCATCTGATTCTGACTTTTCAACAAATTCCCAAGCTCTTGAGTTACCTAGGTAGATAACTGCAACATAAGAAGTTATCCACCCTACCAGCATTGCCTAACAGCCACTTAGCTGGGGCCCAGCTGGCAGAACCAACCCGACTCCCTCATTGCAGAAACCTTCATGGTAATGAGTCCAAATCACTACTTGGTAGAATCTCCAGTCAGACAGCACTAGCATGTACTGGTGGAAAAACCTTCTTGTCTTATAATGGCCCCCTCCTCAAATGAGAATTGCTGAACTTTCTCTAAGTCGAAGGAATCCTATCTTGTGTTTTCCTACCAGACCTGTAGTATGCCTTGCCTAGGTGACTGGAAAACAAAAAACTTTTTCTACTTTTGTTGTACTTCCTTGACATTTCCTTTCATTCCAAGTCTAGTTCAATCTAGCCTTATAAACCAGTTGAGGTGAGTTCGAAGCCTAGATGTTTTTATCCATTAGAACATTTCCTAGGAAATAAAACAAACAAAACACCATCACTCTCTTGATCTCAATAAGTTTAAACCTTTCTTCCCCGGGGTTTGTGGCTGTTTATAACAACATTGACTAGGGCAACCAAAACTTTTGCCTCTGTCTTCCTATTTGCTAAGCTTGGAATAATTGGAGAGAAGGAAACATCCTCTATCCTTCACCTTTTGGGTCTTATAATCCTTATAAGCAATTTAAAGCTGAATGCATTTATTTGTGAATCGCTCTGAAAGCCCTAAGGGAGCAGGGCAATGTTAATACAGAGAAAGTTAACTATAATTACTAAGGCTTACAGCAGTTATACTTAAAGGCAATTAAACTTAGATAGCATGCAGTTCTTGCCTTGGTGGTAAACTACTGCAATGCAAGCTCAGAAAACTGAAAAATAAGCAATCCAGGGCCATGTGGATTTCTTGAGAAAGGAAACCAAAGTATCCTAGCAAAAGCACCCCCGCAATATAAGTCGCTGAGCCAACTCTCTGGTAGGGAAATGCAATAAAGGCCCGGGGAGTTGTCTGAGTTGGCTAAAGATAGGCATGCAGGTCAGATAAACACCACAAAGCAAGCCAAAAAATATCCCATTTTGATTTGCCACTGGGATGATTTTCCACAAGGTAGCAGGACCATTATGGCTGGCATAGTTCTCCCACCTCATTTAAAATGAGAAAAAGTGCAACTCACCCATTAACATCATAATCACCTAGTAAATGCCTACTCTCTAGATAAGTTAGGGTAGAAAAAGACAACTCTTGCATGTGACCAGTGCAAGATCCTAGAGATGCAATCAACAAAGCCAACCATCTTCTAAGTTACACTCTCTACATTTTCTAGATCTTATCTACATGTAAAAAGGAACAAAGACCTACATGCTTTATTGACTCCACTATTATCTTGGACGTTATGTGCTTCACTTTTACCTTAGTCATGACAAATCACCATGTATCTTTATATGAATCAAATGAGATGATGCATTAGGTGCTTAGTAGAGTATATGGTACAGAAAGTACTACAGGTTGTTTGTTCTTTTTTAGAGAAAAATTAATACCAAGTCATACACATTCCAGTCCTCTGAACTTTGAACACTCACTCCAGATATCCTTGACATGGCTATCATTCTCTTAGTAACTCTAATGATCACCTCATTGTCTAATTAGACAACACAAATATAGCGATTTCCCCACAGGAAGACATATAACATTAGGCCTCAAACACTTTATGCTGTAGATATCTTTGGATAGCAAGTTGTTCATTGGAAATACAATTAGAAGCAACCACTGAGTAGCTGCAAAGATACCATATTTCTTTCCAAATGACATGATTTGCAAGGTACCTCTACTTTAGGAGAAAGAAATATTTTACCTAAGATCAAAAGTACTATTTAAATAAAGACCCTTAGGCAAAACTAATTCTCTTTCTCTCTTTTTCACTCTCTCTCTCTTCCCTCTTTCTCGCTGTGTTTGTATGTGTGTGTGTGTGTGTGTGTGTGTGTGTGTGTGTATGTGACACACACACAGATATACATATCAGAAATTTCTATCTGACAGCACAATGAAAGGTAAAGGAACAAGCTGACAATCAGGAGACTTGGGTTCTAGTCCTATCTGTGCTATTAATAGCAACTTGCTTCTCTATTCTCAGCTACAGAGATCTCATTTGCTTAAAAAAAATGAAGGGGGTTTCAGGAGTCAGCAAACCAAAATGGTCAGCAGCCGCCCAAATCCAGCCGTGTCCATTGATTTTGTCCATAGCTGCCTTATAGCTACAATGGCAGTCGAGCAGCTGGAGTTGCAACTGAAACTGCATGGCCCACAGACCCCAAAGTATTTACAATATGGTCCTTTAGAGAAAAGTTGGCAAACCCCTGGAGAGGTCTTCAGATGGTGATGCAGAGTCCTAGTGTTTGGTGGAGGTGCTTTAGGGGCCACTATAGTGGGTGGGTTACATCAGACGGTTCCTCTTTTATGTGCTTTACGTATTAGGGTTCTATTTAAAATTTCACTTGAAAAAACAATTGCCAGAGCTTTGTATGTGTTATATTCATGTTCACTTTTGTTGTCTTGTATCTGTCTTCCCTAGAGAATGGGCCTCCCACCTTATTTTGCTCCATCATCTTTTCATACTTGATGCTTCAGTACAGTTACATAGCTTAAGGTTACTGAATAGCCCATAATATTTCACCCCTCACTGCCTCTGGAGGTGATATTCTCTCTTAGGAATGCCCTGCCCCACCAGGATTTAAGAAGTTAAAAAAAAAAAAAAAAAAAAAAAAAAAAAAAAGCAGGGCTAGATACGTGATCTCAGAAGATCTATAAGAGTCTTTAACTCCCAAATAGGTTATGAATCAGAATCCCCTTCTCACCTTCAACACTGACCAATATCCAAGAGGGCTCAGCCAAATGGGGTCCTAGAATTCTGTACTGACACATTCTTAGAGGTAAAAACAAAAGTTTTGCTTTAGTTTGTGTGTATGTACATGCAAGAAACATACCACATAATGTGTGGTTTTGTCATAAGACCCTAGATGATTTATTTTTCTGTTTTCAGTGTTCAAAGAACTGAAGGTTCACTTAAAAAGTTTCCAAAGCCAAGATAGTGGTTCGAGTGTTTGTGCATAATATGAGTTGTGAGGACCACAGATTAGTGACTCTAGTTTCTAATCTAGAGACCAGTACCCATGAGTCCTAAAGATTCTAAGTAAATCTATCATTTAAGCCAAATCCCTCCTGAACATTCAGTGAATGGAGGGAATCCTTTATGTATTAAAGTTTTCTTACAAAATGCCAACTTTCAAGAAGTTGTCAAATCCTTTCCTTGCTTTCTCTAATTCTGTGTTTTCTTAATGTAGACCCCTACACCACTTTTACTCCCTGGCTTGATCTTTAGATCCACTTTCTCTCTAACCCTAACCTGACTCCCACCTCCTACTGTACTCCAAGGTCCAATCTATGGTAGTTTCCTTTTTTGGCTTTATATGAACGGTTTTCAACTGGGGACAATCGCTCCCCCACCCCCTACCATGCCCAACTCTCCAGGGGACATTTTAGCAATGTGTGGAGACATCTTTGGTTG